CCCACACACGCACTAGCTGCTCTTCGCGCTGCGCTTGAGGGATGTGCGCTCATATTTCTTATATACATTTTTGTTATTCTTGCTTTATATTATTTTTATTTTCTAATTATATTTGTCATGCTGCGTTCCAAAGCTGCTACCTATCTGCCCTAGACGGATGACACGTGTCATAATTATTGTTGTCCTCAACTTGCTTGCGCTCGTAGCTCGTTGCAAACCATCAGTCATTTGCGAGAGCAAAAAAAAAAAAATAAATGAATAAAATAGGAAAAATACCGTTAAGTCGCGCACGTTGCGTGGTGAAATTTTCTCATTAATTTTTACGCATAATTGCAAAGTAATTGAGGCAAAGAATTTAATGCCAACTAAAACTGCTGCAATGGGACTTAGTAGCTGCGCGTATTATAAATATATATTTGAAGAGCGTTGGGACAGGCAGTATCCAGTTTGTATTAAGTTAGTTAAAGGTGGTTGTCGCTATATAGCTCTAGCTTTTAGTAGTAATTTTACAAACTTTTTGTTAAAAAAAAATGGCTTTATATTGGATTTGTGCGCCTTTATGTGCTTAAATCGCACAATTTAATTTCTTATAAATTTTTTTCTGACATACCAAGAAGGCCACGCGCACATGCACTAAGCTGATGTATATGATATATTTTAAGTAAAATTATATATTTATAAATATATATGCATAGTATAATATTTCCAGGGCTAGAGCATGTGACCGACATGTCGTATACGTAACCTATTCTGATTGAATGCTGATTGAATGACATGTGGCAGATTAAAGTCTCAGCGCGGCGGTGGGGTGAACGGCTAGTTAAGTAAGCATGTAAGTGATATGAAGAAGAAGAAGAAAAAAAGTTTGTAAAGCAGCAAGGGATAAAGAAGATGAGCGGAAAGAAGGCCAGTTAATATTATAATATTGTTTTTTTTTTTTTTTTTTAATGTGGTTGTTGTACGCTTTTTTTGGTTGTTGTAAGGTCTTGTGTTCGTTGTTGTATTTTTATACATATTAACATAATATGCGCAATATGTTCTGCATGTAGCTGTGCGCGCTCGCGGGTGTTGTGGTAATAAATCCTTTTGCTGGCAACACGCTTACATGCATACACACATACAAGCACACGCGTAGCTATGCATAAGTATTTATCTCAACAGGTAATCTTATTAAATGTGCCCGTAGTACGCTGCTTTTGTTGCTGGCCACCAAGCACGTGCGGCACAACACATATACACAGATAGAAGTATATGTAGGTATGTGGGTGTGTGCGCCACAAAAGCTTTTAAGTCAGCTATTGGCTTTCGTAAGTGCAATTTGATATGTTGTGGTATGGCCGCTGTACTTTTTCTCACAAAATAACATAATATATATATATATTTGTAAATCAATGGAATTGGTAGGCGTACACACACACATTTAAATTAAATGCTGGCTTTAAGCGAAAACACGCTCAATTTATATACAAACAAGAAAACACATTAACTTCGGCTGCACCGAAGCTATAATACCCTTCACAGTTGCATTTTTTATATCATAAAATGGTATAAAGAAATTCTATTGCTTAGTTTGTATGACAGCTATATGCTATAGTAGTCTAATCTAAACAATTTCTTCGAAGATTGCATCGTTGCTTAAGACAATAATACGTGCCAAATTTCGTGTAGATATCTCGTTAAACAAAAAAGTTTTCCATACAAGCACTTGATTCCGATCGTGCAGTTTGTATGACAGCTATATGCTATAGTGATGCGATATCGGCAGTCCGTCGACGAAGCAGTTTCTTTGGAAGAAAAGGACGTGTACAAAGTTTCAGTTCGATAACTCAAAACTGAGGGACTAGTTCGCGTATGTACAGATGGACAGACAGAATGATATGGCTATAGTTGACTCAGCTTGTCAAGCTGATAATTTACTTACTTGTATATTTTATATTTTATAGTGTCTTCGGTGATTCCTTCTGGGGACTAAAAACAACGAGGGAAAGTTAATATACCCTGTGCAGGGTATAACAAGCATGGGTAGGCTTGTAGCGCGCAAATGAAAAAAAAATATATATATGTATTGCATATTAAAATCAACGCATCAGCAGAAGATAAATGGACGGACGCTATGTAAGCAGGTACGTACAGTATTCTCAGTGGAATCGCCTTACAGTGTGTACGCTTTTGAAGATGTTCGCAATGGTAAACCATGGCTTTAGCTTATTTGGGTCTGTTGATGCGCTGGCTGCGGCTCAGTAGTCTGCTGCGCTTAAAACGCTGCGGATATTGGCCGTTCGCTGATGCATCATATGAGGCTGAGAGCGGCGTTGATTTATTGCAATACGTACACTATATATGTAAATGAGTTTCCGAATTTACCGTTAAAAGAGAGTACACATAATTCAACAGAATTGCGTTTGCAGTTTATTGAATATCAGTTTTTCTACCAAATAATCTCATTTTCTTCCATTTAATCGCATTTTTCTCATTATTTAATGTTACTTAATTGCTTTAAGTGCCGTTAGTTTCATTCTGTTTCATTCCACTTAATCTCGGTTTAACTCTTTTTACAATGAAATATAATTTTTCCACTCGATTGAGTCTAGATCGATGCAATTTTTATACAAAAAGCCAGACTGCAAAAGGTGCAGTGAGCTCTTTAACGGATGAGTCGAAACTTAGGGAACATGTTGGAGAGGTAGTTTTCTGTTACGCGCCCTCCTTATAATTTTAGTTTCAGACTACCAGACCACTGCAGAGTCTCTCAAGCAGAGGTGGCTCCAATTAAGGTAGACAGTAGATGTATTTCTATGATGTCAAGTTCCCTTCATAGAGGTGTGCTTTCACCTTGTTATCAGAGCGACAATTCTAGTCTTCAAGTCGCTTATAGCGCACTCAAGATTAGTCGGGAATTTGTTGAATTCTTTGTCAGTAGCTACTTAGTTATCTGATTTGTTTGGGTGCCGGGTCACAGTGGACTCGCTGAAAGCTGCAAAGCCGATGAGGTTGCTGGAAAGGAAACCCTTACCACAATTTCATCAGATTGGTGACGCGTTGGTACTCTGTTGTCTCGCTTTTGCGCTCTAACGTTATTGCTATGTTGTCCCGTGGGCTTGACAAGCCAAAACTTATGGTGCTACTAGATCCTTCTAAACTAGAGAAGAAAGTATGATGTCCTCTGAAGTACTTGTATTTGCTCTAAGTAAGAGTCATCTCACCGCTATGGTAGGAGATTGTCCGATTGTGTCACTTAAGCGAACCTGGCGAAGTGGCTGGTATTGATATTAACCATCTCGTCTACATAAGATAAGAGTGTGGTGATCCAAATTTCGGAGTTTTGATAATCATATATACGCAGCGTTTACAGCAGTCATGTGAGATCATGCGTTACCTTTAGTGCGACGATCAGCCCTACGACTTAACCCACATAACTTTAGGTATTTTTTTTATTTTTTTCAGATTTAGTATGTATTAGTTCGAAAACCGTCTAATAAACTTCGTATTACTATGTTTCGTTACCCTCTTTACGCTTAAAAATATCCTTAAAAATATCAGTCATTATTTTTATTTGTTTCAATTCCATATGTTTGCATACTATTCATTTACGAATTTTGTTCCGAAATTTCATTAATTTTTTTTTGTTTGGTTTCGGTACGTTCCGATTCCATTTTGTTTCTTTTAAATGTATTTTCGTCTTAATGAACTACTTTATTCCATTACTATCTTTGTGATTAAATATATTTTTCTACTTATAATTTTTTATTTGTTTCAATTCCATTTTGTTGCACACCATTAAATTACAAGTTTAATTCCAAAAACTCCGTCGTAATTTTTCATTTAGCTTTAGTATGTTCCAATTCCATTTTGTTCCATTCCATTTCATTCCTTTCCATTAAAATCAATGCCATCGAAGATATTTGAACCCTTTTTGTTTCGTATGCATTTTTAGTTCTTTCACCTTAGTTGTTTATCACTCTTCTATGATTATTACTTTTTCACAAAATGTATTACTTTCAGTTTGAAACGTCTTATTTCTCAAGGTGGGTCTCATGAAGTTCCTTAGAAACGGATGTAAATTTTTATACCAACGCAAGTTTTTTAGAATAATCTATATTGTTGAGTCTCAAAGGTGTTCAACACAGCGCAGATCAACGTTTCAAATATAAAAAGGACTTTCAGTGCCTTACTTCGTTGCCTCCGATCTTATATGAGTGAAACCACAAAACTAATACCCAACCTCAGCAAAATTGATTATAATAAGTATTTTTATGGCGCAATATATACCCGCAGACACTGACTGTAGCTTGAGAACAAAATCCGTTTCAATTATACTCCAAACTTGAATGCAGTGAATTGTGACCCAATTGAAAGTCCTCTTACATTTTCACGGAAGTTTAGCAATGTTGGAGATGAGGGTATGTTTGTTTACATATTTATAATGCTTTAAGAAAGTCTATGTTCTAAATAATATATAATATATAGAAATAGGTTTTCTTAAATAACCACGAATTATTCGATGTTTTTTCGAACACTTCGAAATTTTTCTATATATTTTTCGCACAAGCCGAAGCCAACATTCGCTCTCACTTCCCTGCACTCATTTGACGCGCATGCGTTTGAAAAATTCGAAATCAGTTGCTCTGGAGCTCGCGTGATATTCGCATTTCATAACACACATTCACTTGCGCTCATTTTCGATATATTTCCATTAATGTACATGCAAACATACAAATCTGTACTTCGAATCAGGACTAGGACAACATATTTCACACGAGTCAACCGCATATAAACACATAAAGAACTGAATTGAATTTTCGAATTGTGCCAACAATGCGCATTTTCACAAGCACTGTCGAGCACAAGGTGGCAGGCTCAACGCCACTTCGTTTTCGAGCATCGCTTGTACTAAAAAACACAGCAACACAGCGTCGCACAAGGCAGCAAATAAAATACGATTGCGCCAGCAGCCGAAGTGCATCGAAATTTACGTTTGTCGCATAAAATGCGACAATTGTCGTAGGGCAATTTCAGTATACGAAAGTTATTTGCTGCTATCGCACTCACGTCGTTGGTGGTGGCGATTTTGGTGTGTTTGGAGGTCGCGTACGCGTCGTGGTCGTCGTCGATACAAAAACGTGTATAGCTCGTGTGTGTATTATGACATCAAAGTGTTTGTCGGTGTGGCGAAGGGACAAAAACATACGATAAAATATTGAATGTCAGTTAGTATTGTAGTATACGGTTGATGTAATAACGGTACGGAGTGTTTTTTGTTAAGAAAGGAAAGTGCTTAGTAATATTACTGGTGGATAGAGTGTTTAATGAATGATTTTGAGCTGAACTCTTGGACGGTGTACATTTTAAATATTGATAAAATTACATAAAAAATTTTTGATTGAAAATTCTATTGAAAAAGTAACAAAATGTAAAAACGGCAAGGAAAGTAATTGCTGAAAATAAAAAGTGAAATTACAACAAGTAAAAAAATAAAATTTTAATTTTAACTTTACAAATATTGAAAAATATGTAAATAAGTAAATATAAAAGAGAAAACAAAAAAATGTTAATTATAAAACAACAACAAAAACAAAATGTAGTCAAAATATTTGCGCTCACTTTTCGGTATTTTGCAATCTCAGCAATCAATACTAGTCAAAAGTTTTTTGGAAAACTTCTTCATTAATTGATTTCCCTCAATAAACAAAACAAAACCCGAAACAACCGAAAAATATTTTCAACTCGAAAAACTCACAAGCAATCACAGCTGATCTTCTAATTGCTTGATTGATTGCTCAACTGATTGAATGCTTAATTTTATGATTTTTGCTTCATTCACATACAGTTACATGAATTATGAAGCATAAAAAAGTATACTGTGAAAAGTGAAGATGCTAACCACAACTGCACACGCTCATCCACAATAGCAAAGCAGTAAAGTAAATAGTTTAGCGTGGCAAAATTGCCCGAGTTAACCGGAATAAACTTTGGTGCGAGTTGTGTGTGTGAACAAGTGTTTAGTGTTTATTGAATTGCAAGTTGCGGGAGTAAACAAAAATATTTTGTGGCAAGCAGTGAAGCTTTGCGGCACTTAAGCGTAGCAGAGAAGTAAGCAAAGTTTTTTGAATTTGTTAAGTGTTTAATAAGTGACTAAGTTGAGTTCACATGTATATATGTAGTAGGACCTGGAAATAAATAACATTATTTCTGCTAAATATTATTTCTTAAAAAAAAATATTATGTTGAACATTGAAACATCCTAAGTTGACAAAAATATCAGTTAAATAATTGAAGCCTAGAAGTATGCAGTTCTAGGCAGATATTCAAATGTTTTTTGGGTTTGGTTTTAAAAAAGTAAGTGTTAGTTTAAACGCAAAAATAGGTTAGACTTAAAGTTGTTTTAGTGAAATTTTTTTTTAGAGATTTTTCAAAATTTTGTTCATGTTAGATAAAATGGAAGTGAGTATATTTAGGTAGAAAGCCAATAATTGTCTATATAGAGTATTTAAGATTAATAAAAATGTTTCCTTCTTCTTTAAATATATCAATAAGTTTAACTTATTGATCCTAATAATAATTTCGAATGAAATGCTTTTAAAAAATATAGCATACCTTTAGGCTGTCTTAAATTTTTTTTACTTCTTCGTATTTTCAAATTATATCGCTATTATAAGTGACTTTAGGTATTTACAGCAGTTTTACTCTGAATTATAATAACATAATGGCTTGAAAGAGATAACTCCTAGCATGTTTACAAAATTGTAACTTCATTTCAATATGGCTTTTGGGACGCTGTAATTATAGTAAAAAAAATTTTCAGATTATTTCCCTAAAATAAATAAATAAATGCAGCGATAACTGAGATTTGCAGTCTGCGAACTTCCTCTCTTTACTGTGTCTCGAACAGCCGCCGCACTCTAAGATATTCTAAAGTAGTAAAGTAGTGCTAATTGGCAGCAAAGGCGCATAATTTCTATTCGGAAATAAGAACTCGAGAATTTGACAAATTTTTCCTTTTTAAAAAATATTTTCGCCTTTAATTATTTTACCAAAAAGTCTGCTTTAGTCATTTTGAAGTTCTAATAAATTTCGAAAGTAATATCACATCAAATTAAAGCATACCTCTAGGCTGTCAATGAGAAATTGTTTTAGTCTTTCGTATTTTACGTTTACTCTATTGTAAGTGATTTTACGCACTCAGCAATTTTATCAAAATTTTGATTAAATTGTGCTTTCAAATAAAATTCATCTTCAATTAAATGCAGCTTTTGATATAGTCTGACCACATGAAAAGAGTTTCCCACGGTATTTCCGCAAAACAAATATACAAAATGCACCGCAGTTCATTAAGCGTTACCCTGAATGCACCTCGTGGAGGTAACCTACATTACTTCCCGTGCATGGTACTCTATATGTTACCAAACTTCAGCTTTATGGTATCATATGCTTAAATATAACTTACGATTATATATTATCGGTGACTAAGCCACTTATTTAGCTTAGTCACTTTCTTATTTTAGCATCAGTGAAATGTCTTGCATACTTTTAGGAGCAATGAATCAAACCTCGAAATTTTCCTTAATAATAATGATAAACGTGTAGTTATATTATCCAGTTATCATATCAAAATACTACTTTTTAGTCAGAGACTTACTTCAACAGTTGCAAGTGACGGAAGAGCATGAGGACCACTTGAACTTTAGTTGTGGAGTCTTAAAACCTTTTTTTTTTTTGAAATTATGTTATGCATTTATGTTATGGCTCCGAAATGTAGACAACAACATTTAACTTAAGGCCTCAAATTTGCTTGATGTTAGAGTCGTAAACATAAATGTGAATTGTTTTTAAAGGGTGCTTGCAAAGCTTTATTAAAAGAGAATTTTATTTTATACAAATTTTTAAGTGCTTAGCTATTGTCAAGAGGGGAACTCATACAAAAATAATTTTCATAAAAAAATTTGGACACAAAATATATTTGTGTGATTAGAAGTCGAAATGTACCAATAAAGTGGTTCAAACTCCTTAGATTCTTGAAAATATTATTGTTAGTTGCTGAATTCTAAGCCGAATTGCTATTCGTGGTGAAGTTTAATATTTGTTCCACATGTTCAAAATATTCGTACAGCGCATTTCTTGATGAAGTGTATTATATATTCCGCAAGTTCAAAATATTGCTACATGCTGTTTCAAAATAAATATCTGTTAGACAACTGTTCACAATGAAATCTACGTTTTGCAATTCTATCGGGCTATAGTTTATATGGATTAATTTGAACTACCCTTATATTGAAACTAAATACTTTCTTCTCATATACAACCAGGAACTTCACCTTAAACTACTGATCAAGTTTACTTTTTCTAACTAATTCTATACTTTTTTAGTTTCCTGTAAGCCATTAAGATAATTTCAAAAAAATTTTTAATCTATAAATAGCTAGTTAATATGCTTCTAATATGTAATTACCAATAATGAAACTGCTGTTACCCTCCACCAATCAATTTTGTTAATCCCTACCATCTGTAGCACTTCCACTCCACTTCCCGACAACACATTTCTGCCGGCTTTTATGTACTCTCATCACTTTTAACCCCGAACTAAGAGGAGTTCTGCGCATATTTCTGCTTAGACGTGCTTCTTAGTTCTACTGTTATTTGAACTTTATGCTCTCAAGAAGACAAAGTTTTCACGCCAGTAAACCGAAAAACTTTAAAATACAAAATAAGTTCACTTGGCGCACTCTTACATCGGCTACACTTACATACAGTTATATGTGTTCAACGACTTTCACTACTCAAGCTCTGACAGTGAGTTGTACGTTCCCACGCTTGCAACTACATGTTTATAAGTGTGTGTGTTTGTATGTGTGGCTGTCCTTAGATTTTGTGCCCAAAGTTTTTAAATAAATACTCCACAACTCTTGCTCGACTCTGGTGGCTTGGCTGGCTTACTTTCACTACTGCAACACCACCAGCACCGCCACCATCTTCATTAAAGCATGCCACAACGCCTGTGGTTATGCTAAGTTTTATACATTATTTTTTCTTTGTTATTGTATTTACAACTGTTCGTTTGTTGTTATTGTTGTAGGTGAAGCTTAACGTTGTTAAGTGAACTTATGGCATTGCGATGTGTATGTGTGCGTGTGTGTGTAGTATGTTGTTGTAGTGGCTTCAAGTATTTCGGTTGGTTGTGGCATACATATGCATATATACGAGTATATATGTGCGTGGTTTGTTACTTTTTCCGGGTGTGGCTGCTGACTTTGACTTACACAGCTGACTTGACTTGCCGGTAGGTGTGTTTCGTTAACATTGTTAGTGGTTTTTAGTAATTATAGTGCTTGAGTGAAACCCGATGTTCACGTAATGCGAGGTGTTATGTTGAAAATGAAACAAATAATATGTAAAATAATTACAGTTGACTTGCCTGGAGAGTATTTTAATATTTTACGTACTCTAAGGCATGTGAGATGGATTTTAAGTTTTCGTATATTAGTTTTTTTAATTTAATTTAGATTTATAGCTACTTACGTTAATGTATTGAGTTGAATCAGTTAAAGTGTATTCACTCAGTAAATTTCAAATATTGGGACTATAGCTATATTCGTGCGATTTTTGTTTCAAAATTTAATTTTTTTAAGAAACACAATTTTAATAGTATTATACAAAGTATAGCCGATCTGAAGTTGTAACATTTTTCCATTTTTCTGGCAATTTGAAAATACCACCACAAAACTGACACCGGCTTAGCCGCCAAGAATTAATCAAGCCAATTTCTGTTACCCTAGTATTTTAGGTATCCCTGTAGCTCATTCGCTTAGCGTTTTCTTTATTTAAATCCATTTTTTTTAGTTGTGAAAAGTATTTCGTGGTGGCATGCGATACCTGCCACGAAGTGAAGCCCATATTATTGATTTTTTTAAATATTTTTTTTTTGATTATATACGAGTACATAATAATCACAAACTTGTATTCAAAGAAATCGGTCATAGATTTTAATTGATTAATGAATGTAGAATTCATTAGATTTTTTGTTGCTGCGGAACCGCTGGGAAATTAATTGTCATAAATGATTATGTGGTCAATATTCACGAATATTGAGAATATTTGTCAATGTCGCTCCGAACGAGTAAACCTTATGCCTTTTGCCCTAAAACTTGTTAACGAAACATTTTTTTAATGTGGTGGTGATACTAGATTGGAACTAGACACTTAATTTTGTTTTAAGAGACTTAAAGAGCTGCTTAGTGGTCAACAGAAAACGCCTTTGTGAACAGCAATAACTTTACGCAAAAAATGTTTTCTTGCATGATATTTTCCCTATATATTGACTATATATAAAGATTATACATATGGGTTTGTATCGCATGGAAGTTCACGCAGTCACTAAAAGAACTATATGCATGAGCTCTAAAAGGAGCAGACATTCCTTTTGAATAAAGGGCGGTTACAACCTAAAAATGTTCAAATAAGTAATGAGAAAACCGCAATGAGGCAAAGCTAAGGCTGTTGCTAGCAATATACAAGCTCCAGCAAAGCTCGTTAGGCTATCTTCAACGTACTAAAGCTACTTTTAAATCATTTTGTACTAGATTATTCATAAGTCATAAATTAGAAATATTAAACTCGACTTAAAACATATTGTGGTATTTTTTTCAGTAGCTAAAATATTAGAGTGTAAAATTCTGTACAAGAAGGTGAATATAGAGGACAATTATTATATTTTCATTTTGGAAATTTCAGTTAGTAATTTATAAGTCTTATTTTCTAGTCTCTGAAGTTTAAGTTATATTGCGCCAAAATGTAGGCAACACCTTTTGCATTATAGTCTCAACTTTGCGTAATGGATAGAGTTGTAAACAGAAATGATAGCGAGTGGCAGCTTCCTCTTAAAAAGACTTGCTGAGTTCAGAATTTTATTTTGTAATAATTTTCAAATCTTAAAAAAATTCTCACGAAGGTTTTAGAGCTACTAGCTTCTGATATGTGAATATTGCAAAAATGATAAAATGATAGAAACAGATGATAGATAGATAGAAAAACCGCTCTGCGGGGAAAGGTAATGCTACTATTAGTAATATATACGGGTCAACTCAAACTGTATAAAA